ACAAGAAAACCACTGCAGCTGTTGCTGTTCAACTACTCTGATGTCTAACAAAAGAAATTGCTCGTTATTCAAATTAATTTGTTTCTCTCATCATTATTTCAAGTATAGTCTGTTTTGGTTCAGTGCTCTAACGTGAAATTCCACCAAGTTCTCCATATTAAAATTATAAAAAGCTATGTACCTTTATGACAGAAACTAAATTCTGAGTTTGAAAATACTGTGAAGCTTGAATAGGCCATAAGTGATAAAGATATAAAGCCATCTGGAAGTGTACAAATTGAAAAGAAAAAATAGAAGCTATTCTCTATCTATCTACCTCATCATAAGAGGTTACAGCCCATCAGCTGCATGTCACCCAGCATGTACTTCAAATAAGTCCCCTTCACCCCCCCAAAACACGCCACAAAAAATAGCATTAAGTGCTCTGTGTCTGATCTGGACAATCTCAATCCCTTACGAAGCAGAACAGAGTTGTCTGTCTGCTTCGCTTAAAGTGCTGTGAGACTAGTCCTTACATTCTGAGAGAATCCTGTGGTGATGGATACAACTACTTGTGAGTAAAGGATAAATTCACTAGGAAACGTTTTGATTTCCTAATATTTATGTAAGAACTCAGTAAATACCTTATTCCATAAAACCTTAAATTCATCCAGAGGGGGTAAAATGAGTATGTTAGTATTTTCTGTTCACTCCTGCATCTCTACTCTGAGTTTTAGTTGCTTAACTGGAGGTGTTTTAGTAATCTAACACATCCAGGAACAGAGGATAGCTCTGGAACTTGAACTCTGTTGTTTTCATAGGAGAACTATGATGGTGCAGAAAAGTGAAAGAAAAGAAAAAGAAAAAAACCCCACCTCTACAAACTCCCCCCACCCTGATTCTCCTTCAAATTCTGACATATAGATCCCATGAGAAAAATGTATTAAAAGTTAATTAAAATCTTGTTTGTCTCTTAAGTATAACTTCCTCCAAAGGCCCCTTTTTCAGTAAGGGTGTGGGAAGTGGTTGGGTTTTCAGCATACAGCCAAAGTAAACTGAAAACAAGCACTCTGCCACCTCAAGAGATGGTTATTTAAACATTCACACTGCTTAGACAACTTTTTGACAAAGTTTTTAATTACTTATATTTTTTTAATCTTTCAATACTAATACTGAAATATCAGTACACAGCCATGTGATAACACATTTAACTTCCTCATTTTTCAGTAACCAATGATTGCAGAAGCTCTAGTTAAAAGGAAACCCAATAACTACAGGGATTACTTGGTGAATTTGAAGAGACTCTGGAGCTGCAGCTGGTTATAATATTATGACAGGAGTTTTTGTAACTTACAGTTATGGTCATTATTCACAAAAGGAAATAATGGCTTTCCAGACTGTTGTCAGAGAGAAGCAGTTTGAGATAAAAGTAAAATAAAAATTATTTTAACTCATTAGGATATATTGCTAAGGAAAAATAATTAAAATCTATAGTCCTATAAAAACCTCCTACATTCTAATAAATGAGTACAAGCTGAATAAAAGGGAAAGTAATGGATTGGTCAAACCTCAGAGGGAAGCAATGGTGAAATCATGCAGCTCAAATAAAGAATGCAGACAGATCTGACATATGGGTGCTTTCTTTAGAGAAAGCCTCTGTTTGGAGTGCAAGTCATTCTAGCTAATGGATAAGTCATGTTCATTGACAATCACATTAGCCCTTTTTGCTTTTTTAGTCAAATAAGGCTAATCATTTAGCATGCTTAATTTATATAGCTATGAGTGTGGGTTATCAGTACAGACGTACTGAAGCATAGAAGACTTGGGAACACTGAACTATCTGTCAAATTTGATCAAGTCCAATGAAATTCAATTTGTTAATCTTGCTTCACAATCCTACCCTCATACACTCTAAACACTAATATATTTTGTATTCACCAAGATACACAGTCTACAGGGAGACTTTTTATTTGGCTTAATCAGAATCATGTATGAGCTACATTAACATCTGGAGTAAGAGGCATGACTCTTAAAACTAGAAGGCTAAAAGTAAGACTGCAAATATGTAAATATTTGTAATATGTATTTTCATGCCCAGTTCTTACCTTAAAGAACAAGACCACAACCTAGTATAATAATAACTACCACCAATAAAATAAATCTGGAGTCTTTTCTTCATTAAACAGAGAAAGCTGGTTTTGCATGCATATATCTATATCTATATCTATATATCTTCTTAAGCTCCAAAAATTAACTGATGCAAGTTACTCATCTCTGGACTTCTCACTTCTCTAAAATAGTGATTAATGCTCATTTTAGGCCTAAAGCAAAGGTTTCTGAGGCCAAGAGAAGACCATACTTCTCCCAGCATCCACTCAGGCCTCATTCCACAGGAAGCAACTTCTTTATCAGCTACCTAAGTTTCCAACAGCCATGAAGTTTAGCCGTTTTTTGCTGCCTAGAGAAATCCATGGAATCTGGATACAGTGGACTGAAATAGCACAGGCTCTGAATAGTTAATTTCTTGCTATTTCCAGTCTACTCTAAAAGCAGCTACATGTGCACAGATGATTTGTCCAGTATTTGCATAACATGGTATATATAAATCTGCAGTTAGAAGGCTCTCAGTCCTGGTTTGTTTCACGGCAGTTCTCCAGCCCGCTTTCGGAAGGAGTTTTCTACCTTATTTGTTCTCTTGCCATACAGAACAAGAACACATTCTTGTTTTCCAGTCCCTGCCCAAATTGCATCCAGAAGCTTACTTGATTGAATTAGAAAGAACCAAACTTGAGTAATTACTATCTTCCTCTGTTTGAGACAAATTGGAATAATAACTATATCCAAATATAGGCTCCAGCAGATATATTTGGTCCTTCAATCATATCAGAGTACTCAAGAAACTGTTCTGGAACACACAGAACATTAGCTAGAGGAGAACCACCAAAACAGACTTAACCTGTTTTAAGATGTCTTATTTATTACTTTTCATCACTAGAAATGGATAAGCAAATAGGGTCAACAATCTTCCCATCAAACTGAGTTTTTACTCTATGTTATAACCAATAACAAGTAAAGAAATAGAGTAAGATGTGGTGGGTTTTTTTGGTACAGGTAGATATAATTCTGCAATCATATAGGAAACATTCAATCAACATTGATGAGACTTGACAGATGCATTGTCTGGGAAATATTTTGGTTCTTTTCCCATTAGATATCATTATATAAGCCTGTTTTCCACATGATACTGAATATCAGTGGACATTAGATTAAAACTTCAAGTAATGTGAAGTCATAAAGTTAACTCTCTTGAAGAGATTGCTAAATTGCTCATGACCTATCCATGCACTGTGGAAACAAAATCCACATGCTACTAGCATGCTTGAATCTTTTTGTTTTAGAGCCTGGGCACCAACAGCATACAAAATAGCTGTGAATAGCTGATGCACACAGAATATTTCTTCTGTCATTTGCCTTGCTTCTCTTTCTTCCCCAACATCATGTCAAGTAAGTGAGGGAGGTAAAAGCGATGTTGTAGAATATATGGCCTTTCATTGCTCATAAGAGAAGGTACTGGACAATTTAAGGTGTGTTGGAAGCACAACCTATTAAAAGAAAAGATTGAAAGAGATGAAAACCTATAGAACGAAAAATTTGAAAATCCTCAAAATTATGACAAGTTTTCTAACACCCCTTCCTTCAAATGAAAACATAGCACAAAACCTTGACAGCTCCTGGAAGAAAAATGTCTAATCTGAAAATCAATATTAATAGGATATGTTTTTCTTTTTTCTTGCTTTTTCTGAAGAACGGAATCATCAATGTGTCCATGGTGTCATCAGTGTGTGCTGGGCTATGTATAAATCACCACAGAAGAGAGATAATGAGTTAAAATTTCCAGATGTATGCATTTCCTGACTATCTGTTTACATGTTTTGTAAGAGGTAAGAAAATAAAAACCCAATTAACTTCTCCCAGTTAAAATCTTGTTTGAATAAGGTACTGCATTCAGAAAAAAAAGAGAGGGGGAAATATATATATATATATGATATTTTTATTTGCCTGGAACTTGTTCCATTGGTGTGAAAAGTTATTTGTGGAGTTATTACATTCACATTTACACTTCTGTACACCTTAGCAGTCTGTTAAAGCTTGCACATTTTGAATAAAGTGAAGACTCATATGTGAATGAGAAAAAAAAAACGTAGAGATTTTTTGATCTAAACATCTCCAATAATGACTTCCTGCCTAATCATGGCTAGTCTGACAGTAACATTTGAAGGTCCATATTAGTCTCTGGATAGAAAGCTTTACCTGAAGAGCAGGAACAAGCACGACTGCACCAACAAGAGGCTGATGTCATCTTCATCATTATGGAGGGGGGAAAAAAAAGTAAAAGGCGGCAAGCATGGGTGTCGCTATTTAAATTTATAAAGCTTAACTTAATGTTTTCCCATTGTGCACAAGTGAGATCATGGCCCTACCCAGATACTTCTTTTAGGAGTTCATACAGAAAGGTGTGTAAGTACAAACCCTAAGGCTGCCAAGTCCTAACTGCAGAAATCAACTTCTCTCCCTGGAAGCTGTGATGTTGAGAGAAAAATTTTTAATTGCCTTACCATGAGAGCATCAAAAGACAGCAAATTCTGTCTTGCATCATTTTTATGTATATCTAGCCTTGGTGAAAATCTTTTTCAAAGACACACTGAAATATAAAACTAACACATACAAAATGGAATGTTACCATATGAATTAGGATGTGTTTAAGCTACCGTATAGCTTAGAGCAAACTAAATCTCTATTACTTCAGTATTCATATCTCTGGTGCAATTGTGGGTTTTCTTTATTTTACTTTAATTTTTCTTCACATAACTGTTGAAGCAGAGTAATCTGCATGTCACTGAGAACTTCACAAACTGAGAACAACTAAAAAGTAAAAAAAACCTGAACAGGAAAATTGCAGGAGGGATAAAGACAAACAGTTCAATTTCAAAATAGTTGTGTAAAATGCTGCATTCTCCTACCTGCAATGATGTCATCCATCTGCTCCAAAGCTGCTTCCAGCATATGGCTAGCGTCAGAAGCCATCATCTGTGATTTCTTCAGGCCTTTACTCTTCTACTGAAAAGACAGATGAAACCATATGTATTACAGTGAACCAGACCTGACAGAAAAATATATGTCAATGTTACATAAAATTAGGCCATGCAAGCCTACGCTAGCAAAAATACAGTAATTCTTGATAGGTGACTTAGGATTTCTGAGGTTTTCATTCATTGTTGATTTTTTTTTTTAAGAGATTTTACTAAAATGAGCAAATGCAGATGGAAACAAAATCAAACAATCTCAAATACTGGAAGTCTGAGATTTTCCTACCCCTCACCCTTAACAATGGTTTCTTAGATTCGAAATTCAGTACATTTCAACCTTTTGTGTTGTGGGGTATAAGAGGATTGATTAGGTTTCAATGAAGGAACGAACACATGGTGAAAAACATGCTTAAGATACAAGCAGAACTCTGCAGGAGCTCTGCTTCTTGATAACTGCCTTAAGAGTGAAGAGAATTCTGAAGTAGCTTTTATTCTGCTTTCTATACCCCCTTCAATCTTTCTACCACTTCTTTCATGACACTGAAAACACAGTTCTCTGTTCTGTTCCAACAATCAAAATCCTCCAATATGAAGTTTCTGAAGTTACTGCTGCCTCTTTAAAACAGAAATAAAGACATTCATGTTACCATCTGACATTAAGGATAACAAACAAAATGTTCCAAAATTAGCCCCTATTTGTGAGTTGTTTTGCTGGACTCTTAGTCAAGTAGTAGTCTCTATTGTCAACAGATGACATTTTGAAAGAGAAAAAAATTTACACTGTCCATTCCACTGCCAGTGAGAAAATGCTCTCTGAAATAAGGCCCTTCTGCATATCACTTCATTGCTGAAGTATGAAACCAGTGCCCACACAGCCATGAACAGGGTTCATACTTATGCATAATTTTTGCAGTGATCTAACAGACAATTCAAAATACTGACAAAGCCTTTAAAGGGCCACAGCATTTTGACTTCTCTCCCATGAAGGGCACGATTCAGTCTTCTGACATTCAATCTTCTGAGCAAGTTTTTATATTTTTGGTGATTCAGAACTGTTCAATTTTGACAACTTTCTAAGCACCACAAAAGACACCTGCCTGACAATGGCTAGAGATACCCTTCAAAGGATGGAAGTTGTATGTAAGTGTATGTTTGTCAGGCCGATTATTACAATGTAACTGAAATTTCACTCATCTGTATTTATCATATGATTATCTACGCTAAGAATTCAATTATTTTGAATTTAAACAAATATTACAATAATCTCTAATGGCAATTCACATAGATGAAAATATTTCTGTACTGTGTCCACTCACCATTTGGACTGTGGCCACCATGACCAATTGCATGACTGGTAGCTAAACCACTCACATTAGACTACCTAACCACTAGAATATAGAATCAGCAGCCAGAGGACCAAGTCAGCTTTAAAGTAAAAGCTTACCCATTTTTGTTTCAGAGAGACTGTCAGAAAAGTGTACTTAAAAGTACACTTAAGGCTGAGTCCAAATTACTGCTTCATAAGGAATGTTCAGTCTCAGTTAATAAGCCCAGCGTAACAGAAAATTTTTACTAACATCAAAATTATTTACTTCTCTTGCAAACTAAGAATCATGAGAGACAGGTTTTTCTCCATGCTGCTGGGGAAATATACACAAAGAAAGCTAATTTATTAGTAACCTCTGTGGTATCAGTGAGGTGTGTGTCCTACGTCCAGTCCATTCAATGTATATAACAACACTATCTAGGGGGAGAGATGCAGGAATTAGTCTGAAACTTCTATGTTCTAATTTGAGCTCTGCCATTTATAACTTGTTGTTATGGGTAAACCATTCTTAAACTTCAGATCAAAATTATCTGAAGAGCAATATGACATCACCTTATCAGAAAGAAGCAGAAAAATCTTTAGTGGCACCCCAGGCAAGGATTAATGTAAATCAATGCTTGGTTTTGGTCTCTCCATTTTTGTCCGAATAATAATTTAAGTATGAACAATGCTAAATGTAACTGAATTTCACCAAAATGCATCTGACTCAAATGTTTCATTTAACAGTATTGAAAATAACACAATTTGTGTTCAGATTAATCCAGGAAGTCATTAAATCAGCTGATATAAACCTAGAATTCCAGAATGCACACACATTAACTTTATACACTCCCTCTGATTCTGTTTCTTCAGTCTGTTGATCTTTGGTAGATTGCCATCTTCTGTTGTGACATTCACCTGCCAGTAGCTCAGTAGATTCACTGAATACTTGAAAACACCTGATTCTCAACTGCAGTGAACCTCCTTCCTTGAAATATTTCCCCTAGTTCAAAGCAGCCATCAGTACTAATCGTATCAGTGAAAGGAAATCCATCTACAGTAAGCAGCTGCAGAAGAGGCACCGAGACATCTTGCTCCTTTGGCGGATGTGGCCACAAGCCACTTCCCCTGAAATTTATGGTTGCCAGCTGTGTTGGTAAATCAGGACAACAGACTGGATCAAAATTAGAAGGAAGAAAAAGAGCAAAAAAAGTATAACAAATAGCACAGAGTTTCTATTGCTAGATTGCACTGCATGTTCTTATTTGTGCTGTAAGCTACTGCTCCGTGTGCATAAAGCAGCTACAGCAATAGGCAGTTATTAACAAGAAATATGGGACTGCTCTTTCTTCTAGACAAACAGTATTTGACCATCCATAGTGAGAAAGGTACAGAAAACAGATACATTACATTACAAACTTGAAATTTCACTTATAGAAAAAACTTCAGTCAAGACCTTGGCACAAACCAGAAAGTTCTGCAGAAAAATAGCACGAGAACTAAGTCTTCCATCTCCTCCCAGTCTCCACACTCTGCCTGTTTTCTCACCTGTATCCACACTGTATTTGCTGCTAAACTGCATTAAAAGCTGGAGTAAAACCTGCTGTTCAAACAACAATTTATGAATAAAAGCAATGTTCTTTGCTCCAGAGTAATAATGTAATATTACTTGCTTGACATCTTTTTCTAGACAGACCTGTTGCTTGTGCTTCAGGCAAGTCTTACTTTCCCAGACACTCCCTTCTTACAGTTTGACTGTTCTAAGCAATATTATGAAAACAGCTCGTTAGATTTCATATGCTTTCAGATACCATTTCTGATCTAGTTCTATAGAAATATCTGCAATTGTGTATTATTTTTTATTAATATTAAATAACACGACATCTGTATCAATCCCAAGGCATGCTAAGTACCTCAAGCACGATCCATCATTTTTCTGGTATTTTAATTGCATTTGCTTTTATGGTTTTCATTCATTAATGACATCAACAGATGCAGAATGACTTATCTATCCATACAAAAATATACATATATTTTGAAAAATATTTTTTTCCAGCTTTGGTCAGAACTGAACAAAAACTATCTCCAGCTTTACAGTACAAGCTTTAATATTAACAAATTCAAACCTTCAGGTTTTATTAGATTTGTATACCAGCAAAATACAGGAATCAATCTACTCACCTTTTCAGGTCCCTAAGAAGAAAAGAATTTACTTTTTTGCCTGATCAGTAAAGATTCCTCACTATTAGTATCCAAAGTTTTACTGTTAAACAGACATAAGTCTAAATTATTATCATCTCTTCTAAGCCACACATTCATACTGATTTAGAGCCCAGCCCACAGATAAAGATATTGCAACCCTGTGTCTTATAATTACCTAAGTAATAAGATCTTCCAGGAAGTACAGACAGAGCAAACTTGTCTGAACACCCTGAATTTATTTTGCTCAGCTAGCTTTACCTTATAAATCCCAATCAGAGATTTGCATTTCAAATAAAATGAAAAATCTCTGGTAGAACTATTGTGCTTAGAGCCCTTGCACACTTCTTAACCTACTTTCTGTATGTAAAACTATAGCTTACTGTGTCCAAAAAGAACATAATACTTAACAGAAGTATTAACTATGAGCATGATGTTCCTCAGAATTATGAAACGCCTTAATTAAATTTGAACCTTTCATGTCTGCCTTGAACCAGCAGCTGTCCAGAGATAATTCCAAGGTTGCTCCTAATGAGGTTGCCAACTTAATCAGTTATGGAGAGGAGTGGGTTTTTGACAAGAACTTTTGAAATCCAGATCTTGCCTTACTATCAATGCTTTGGGTGGCCTACAAATTCCTCTTACTTTAATTAATCCTCTTACTAATAATTAAACACCACCACTTTTTTTTCCTATGATGAATACATGTTTGTAAACTGTTTAAAGATTCAAATTCAAGTACCACATTACTTTGTCCTTAAGAGTATAATGAAATATCAAGTGGCTTGAGTGAGCTTCAGAAGTCCTCCCTGCTTTCTTCAGCTGCAAGACAACTCCTGAGCTGGAATGAACAAATGCACACAATTTCCACCCCCACCATTTCCCACCTTGCTTCTCCCCCAGCCACATGCTGTATCGTATCCAGTCACCTCACAGGACCATAAGGGCTGTTTCAACTCTCCAGCCTGGCTCAGTAGCTCTCATCACACCATCAAATCCAAAATTATAAATACATATTGGAATCCTGGCCTTTAAGAACCTGGCATACCTCTCTAATTAAGTTAATCCTTAGTCCTAAATAAGCATCCACAGCTGCTGGGAACAGAAGAATTAGTGATGATTGCTAGAATGGCAGCCTAAGGAACACTACTTATACAGCATCCTCCAGGACTACTCAGCCAGAAATCCTATTCATCTGATTTTTGTTAATATGGACATTACTTGCTCTACTTCCTGTTCATATGCTTCATCTGAATAGAGAGAAGGGTAAATAGAACCCGTCCTTCATTTATTAACTTCTATGTAATAAATAAAAACAAGAGTATAGAGGCTTTTTAAAGAATAACTAGAATGGGAATAAAAAAAAAATATTTATTTTCAGCTAGAAAGTGTAAAGAATCCACACTAAGAGGAAGTGAGAAGCTCTAGAGAGAAATATATATTAGCTAAAGTTGCATGAAGACCTGGTACTAAATTATTTCAGGTAGATGGTAGAA